TCAATTAACCTCCTTTTGAGGTCTTCAATGTATAAAGAGGCAGTGAACGAAAGGAGGAAGAAAAAAAAATCGTTTTAGGGCCCATACACTGGGAATTTTCTTTAGTTTCTTCATTTTAAACATTTTTTTGTGTGTAATTGTAGAACCCTAAATCTAATTAATCATTATTGTTTCACCATGTGATAAATTTATTTGCATGAACTAAAATAGCTTTTGTTAATTTTGATGTAGAATTTCCATTGAGACTTGATTATCAAAGATGATGAAAGACGTAACTATATCCATATTATCTGATCATGACTTTTCTAAGATTGTTAACGTTTATTATCTTTATTTTTTCATTGTTTTCATTATTTAGTTTTTTCATAATTAATTAAAATCATGTGGATAAATCTCAAGTTTATAGAATTCCACAGGAGTTTTAACAAGCCATTTTTATCATTATAACAAAGCCATTCATATACTATGAGCTTTGATTCTCTATTATCTATATATGTTGCACAAAAGGTGTTTGTGGAAATGCCTAAAAGAGGATCTGACCATGTGGTATGTATATATTTTGTCAAGACTCTCAGAATGCCTATTATTCTAACAGAATGCTTGTATCATGTCAGAATTTATTTATATAAACGCATTCTGTTAGAATGTTTGTTAACAAGTATATTTGTTTAACTGGTAATACTAACGATTAATGCATGTTATTCTTTTAGAATGCCTTAAAAAGGAATCAAATATTGATCACACAAGAGAAAGACTTGGAATAGAGTTCAAAAACAAGTATATTTGCGAAGAATTACATTCTTACGATAATACATCACATTTTCGTAAGAATAGTTGGAATCAAGTCGATTATTTGGACAATTAAAAAAGATCAAGTGCATTTGTTCAATAATTGTATATTTAAGAATGCAATTTTGTAAGAATTTTATTCATTTTTATGGCATTCTATTAGAATATGTGTAATTATATTAAAATGTATATGGCTGTTATTCTGTAAGAATATGTCTTAATTTTTGTTTAAGTTCGGATGTCTATGAATAAATATAAGAATGTTGTTATTATTCAACTGGGGTTCAAAAAAATATTATTTTCTTCTTATTTATGTATTCTTAAAGGATGTCATAAACTGTTATTCTAACATAATTTCATTCTAGCAGAATCGCATTCTGACAGAATAAAATAAGTTATAATCGGTTATGATTACAAATTAAATTAGAATTTAAATTGAATAAATTTTTTAAAAAAAAAATCAAAATTATCCCTTCAAATTCGAAAATTTTATTTTTTTAAATATAGTTAATTGTCTAAAATACTCTTTTAATTAAATTTGAGTGATATTATGGTAAATGATATTCCATTGTAATATCATATATCCTGAAAATCATAGCCATTCATTTTTTTCATCAATTGGTCCAGAATTCTCCTTACTTGCACATAATATTTACCTAAAACACAATAACCTAACCCTTTATATATATATAATATAATATATATATATATATATATATATATATATATATATAGATATATATATAATAGAGAGAGAGAGAGAGAGAGAGGTGACTTATTTTGAAAAACTAATAACTTTTTTCCAGACAAATATATTCAAAACCAATACCATAAAAAATCTAGATATCCCGTTTAGGCCATTCACAAGTCAAAAGTCTCGCAAATACAAAAATAAAAGTATAAATGTGTGTGTGTGCGTGCGCGCACAAACAAACAAACAAACACACATACACACACACAAACACACACACACACACACACATATATATATATATATATATATATGCCTATTCAAATGAAATATGCATCAAGGGTGGTTCTTAGTGGGTGTCTGGTGCAGCACCGACAACGCCTGCTATTCCTGTGGAAATTTTTTTTTTTTTACTTATTATGTCACTATGTAAAAAAAATTGTATAACTACATAAAAATATGTGTCACTATGTTACGTTTGACCAGAAAAAGAAATTTTCTCACACCTACTATCAATTTTTGCGTCCGCCCTTGATATATACATAGTACTAGTTGTGAGAACCATGTATTACATGTGTTAATTTAAAGAGAAAAAAAGTGAAATATAAAGGTCAAAATATTTGAGAATTTTGAATTTAAAAGAAAATAAAAAAAATAATGAATTATTATTATGGAAATGTTTTTTATCATTTAAATTTAAGCAAATAATTTAAATAAATAAACAAAATAAACTAATGGCTTTAATTTTGGGAATTTTGAAATTGAAAGGTAAATTGATTAATAATATTGATATCCATTTATTACTACATTTTTTGTAATTATTATATTAAAATATTATGTGGAATTTAATAAAATAGAAAAAACTCATAAAATGACACGTGGAAAAAAAATTAATTCAAAATAAACACAAAATGACATTTGACAAATTGAATTGGAGTGTGACAAGTGGCAAAAAAACTTTCATTTATTAGAGTAGATATATAAACATTTAAATGTACATACATTTTTTAAAAGAATCATTATGTAGTTTAAAGAACCACTTATGTGTGATCAATGTTTTAAAAACCAGTTTTTTAGTTGAACTGGTTTAGTGAACGGTAACCGGTTTAACCAGTTCGACCGGCGGGTTAACCGCTTTCTATAATTTCCATATTTTTTTTTTCATATTTTCCTATATATACATGCATATATAAATCATGAATTTGACGTTTACAAGTTCAAAAATTAAAAATATATATACAAATAAGTTGTAGATCACTCCAAATACATTACAAACTTTATAACATTTATTATATGTTTTTATTTGGAGAAAACTACATAGATTTGAAAAAAATCACCAAAGTTTATTATGCAAATGGTTCTTTTCCATGTACTTTTATTTGGTTTAACCGGTTCAACTGATATATTTTGACCGGTTCAACTGAGTTTTTCTAAAAACGGTCGGTTTAATCAAGTTCAGAAATCGACGTAAAACCGGAGATAATTGAACCGCTCCCTTTCCCGGTTTCCGGTGCGACCGGCCGGTTAAACCGGTTTTTAAAACATTGTGTGTGATTGTTATCAAACGAAGACAAGCTTATAGGTAAAGTGTGGTGGTTTTGGTTTTCAAAAAAAATAACAGATTTTTTTATAAAGTAGTCAGGAAAGTATTGGTTTTTTTAAAAAACATATATATATATATATATATATATATATATATATATATATATATATATATATATATATATATATATATATATATATATATAAAAGTTTTAACTACCATGAACATGGGAACACTAAAATACATAGTCAAAGAGTAGATATCTAATGAATAGAAATATAGAATCTATTACATATTTTTCAAATTCACACCGTGATTAACGTCTCTCTCTCCCCATCTATCACGCATGACGTCATTAATAGCAAAATTAAGTTTTATAATTAAGATTTTGTTTAGGTTTCCATTGTCCTTTTAAGATGTTAAGACCCCTAATTCATTACTTTATTACATGGAACTGTGAACTAATAATGGGTAATGTAATGTTCATATCATAAAGAGGTTTTCAATTTAAAAGCACGTGTCTCGTACGTAATTAAAAATGCTATAGAAACTCCAAAAAAAGAGAACTAAATGTCATTAATGAGGTCACTTTGATTGTATTTGGAATAGAATACGACGGTGTATCCTTTTTATGTTTTTACCCATTTTATAATTTTTTTAATTTTATAGTAAATATGTATAACATTATACTACTTCAAAATACTTATTCAGTATTGAAAAGTGCATCAAAACACTATATATTCTGACTTGAGATGAATTAAAGTATATGAAGTGGAATTGATGATTGGGAGTTGAAAAATTACACAAAATTATGCATCTATAACTAATTTTCACCGAAAGAGCATCTTACTATTTTCTCTACCACCACACACACACACACACATATATATATATATATATATATATATATATATATATATATATATATATATATATATATATATATATATATATATATATATATATATATAGAGAGAGAGAGAGCTAGGTTCATTTGTTTAAACTAAGTATTGTGTTCTCGTATTCATAAATGTGGGCCAAGAATTTGTTAACCGTATTCTATAAGAAATAATGTATTTTTTGTTTTTATTCTTCAATTGATTGTTCAAGAATTTGTTATTCTACAAGAAGTTCAAGAATTTATGGTTCAAGAATATTTTTATTTTTGAGTAAATAATTAAATAAATAAACATATTCTGTCAGAATGTCCGAATTAAAATAGTTATAATTCGTAAAATCGGATTTTTAAAATTAATAGAATCTATTATCCCTTAAAATATGTAATTTTCCTTTATTAAATCTATTTTAATTCAATAATATATATTAATCACTTTCTTAAAATAAGTAAAATTGATTGGCCCACAGTTATGAATACAATAACACAATAATTACTTTGAATAGAATAACGTAGGCCTATATATATATATATATATATATATATATATATATATATATAGAGAGAGAGAGAGAGAGAGAGTCAAGATCAAATAAGAAGGAAATTTTTGGTAGGAAGGTAAGAAGTTTTTTTTCTACATATTTTTATCGCGAACAAACAAAATGAATCGTTAGATGATTCATTTGTAAGATTATTCACAAGAAAAAATTCTCAAAAAAACATCTTGATGATTCATTTATACAATCTCAAAAAAACATCTTGATGATTCATTTATACAATCATTTTGTTGTTATTCACTAAAATTGTCATAAAAATGAATTTTTTCTTATGAATCATAAAGATGTTTTTTTGGGAATTTTTTCTTGTGAATCATCTTACAAATGAATCATCTAGTGATTCATTTATTTTGTTCTTCAAAAAAATATGTAGAAAAAAAACTTCTTACCTTCCTACCAAAAAAAATTTCTTACCGAATCTATATCCTATATATATATATATATATATATATATATATATATATATATATATATATATATAAAAGATGAACATTTTGCACTCATTAGTCTTTATTTGACCCTTACAAAGAACTAAACAACTATATATTGCTCCATTTCCTCCCACACCCAGCATTACGCTTTGTGTTCTTTTTGTGAAGACAAGATCCCGTAATCCAAAATCTCATTTCCCTCAAAAGAAAAACTTTTTTTTCGAAAATAAAACTAAACTTTAAAAATGGGAAACAGCTTAGGAGCAAAAAAGAAAACTACAAAGATCATGAAAATGAATGGTGAAACGATTAAGTTGAAGACACCGGTGAACGCCGGCGATGTCATGAAGGGCCACCCGGGTCTCGTGTTGATGGATTCGGAGATGGTGAAGCATTACGGAATCCGGGCTAAGCCGTTGGAACCTCAACAAGATCTGAAGGCTAAGAGGCTTTACTTCTTGGTTGAATTGCCAAAGTTTCCTGAAGATAAATCGGCCAGAAGAGTCCGGTCGGGGATAAATATGAGCGCCAAGGACCGGCTGGAAAGCCTAATGTTGGGTCGGAGGTCGGCGTCGGATTTATCGTTCATGAAGGCCCCGAGCATTATGGTGGAGAATGGCGGCGGTGGTAGTGGAGGTGGTGTCGAGCCATTGAGGGTGAAGTTGAGGTTGCCAAAGGCGGAGGTAGAGAGGTTGATGAGGGAGAGCAAAGATGGTGGTGAGGCGGCGGAGAAGATCATGAGACTTTGCATGGAGAAAAATGGCGGCGGAGGTGGTGGGGGTGGCGAGGCACCGACGGATAAACGGCGGGTGCAATGGAAAGAGGATGCTTCCAAGGGCCGTGGGGTACGTTCATCTTTATCTTTATTCACAAAGTCACAATTATTCATTAAATATTTCTATATACAAAATTACAAATTGAAGTCATTAATAAATTAAAAATAAAAGTCATCGACCAGATAAACATGAATAACTCGATATTTTGAGTTTCTCTTGCATACTTTTTATTAAACAAAAATACCGAAAATGTATATATAAATAAGAAAATCACACAAATTGACATTCAAATATATTGATGTATTGTTTACTTTCGCAATAATTGGCCATTGTTTAAGGAGATCCATAAGATTATAACTAGAGTATAAAAACAAGTTGATGTTTCATATATTTGTTAATTTTTTTTAAAAAAATACGCTTATATCTTATACGAAGTCAAAACATCTGAATTCACATATAATGATTGAAAAAACTACGTACTAACGTACGTTTGACAAAATGTATTGAATTCTTTTTCTAGTAAATTGCATGTGGTTTTAAACATCTGTTCTCAAATCTCCCTCTAAACACCCTTTGACCCACCTTTCATGCCGTGTTCTTTGTTTTGACTGCTTTTTTACTTCATATTATAAAAGAATGCACGTATAGTTTTCATTTAATTAATGCTTAATTTATTCATGTACAACACAAGTTAACACCAAATATAACAAAATGTGGATAGAGTCATAGAGGTATATAGGCTATCAAGTAGCGTTCACACAATTGATTAATTTTTTGGATGTTAAAAAGTCATGATATTGTTTATTTGGTTTACAAAGTTTATATTTATTATATTATATAATAATTATGAATAATATATATGTATTTTTTTTATAGAAATTGACATAAACACCGTTGGCTGGTGTAAAGTCGTAGATTTGTTGGGTGACTAAAGCAGAAAGTGTCTTGTAGTAACATGGCCTTATTTGGTGTTCTGTCAACGGTTTCCTTGCTATTACTTAATTTTAATAATATTTCACATGTTTAATTTCTTCTTAATTTGACAATTTCCTATACTTCATCTATGTTTTTACTTAACTTTGAATTTAAATTTTATATACAAGAAATATAAAATTAATAATTAAAAATTAACGTACGTACAAATGAGTTTAAAACTAGGCACAACTTAGACCTTTGTTATTGGGTGACAAATTAAGTAATGGACATAAGTTACATCACTCATCTTATAATATTGTTTGCATATAAAGGTCGAAACTTAGCTCTGAAATAGTAATAATATAATATATAAATATATTAAATTAATTATATAAATGTTTGGTTTTGCAGAAAAGAGTGGGATTTCTTCCTGTCAGCCAAGAGCTAAACATGGAATAGCACAAAATACCAACCAAAAAACACAGTATAGCCAAGCAGAGTTCTCTCAATTTTCCTCCTACTCCTCCTGTATATGATCCACAATATGTATTTTTTCTAGAATGAATTTAATTTTAATTATTTATATTTGTAAATTTATGGTAAATTAATCATCATATGTGTTAAAATATAATGCAAAACATTATGTATGTTCGAATAAGTGATTTAAGGAAAATGTTCCTGTTGCAACAACCACATGATTATAATCACTCATTTTAACATACTTTAATGTTATTATATTTTATTAAATATGATCGTTAGTTTAAAATAAGTTTATAAACATAATGATTAGATCGTTAAATGACACATTCGTCTTTTATTCTTTTTTTTTTTCATGTAGCTCTCTGGTGCTGTGGAATAATTTTGTAATCTTATTTTGATGCATGTACTCTTTATCTTAATTGCTGTCTCTGTTATATCTTTAGTTATATCTTTAGGTGCTTGTTGTTAGATAAGTGGATAGGGTTTACAGTGGAGATCTGGATATCCTTTGGATCGTGTAAACATTTTCATATGTCTGGGTTACAAGAAATTCAGCCTAGGATAATTTCAAGGGGACACTTACGAATCTAGGCACAGCAAACGTAAGCCAAATTGCTAGAGAATTTTGAGTTTGTATGAAGAAAAACGAGAGTTAAGATGTGATCTATTCTCTTTAAACACGAGATCCGTTTATATAGAAAACGAGATGTAGGGTTTCGTTTTTAGGGTTGGTTGTCATGGGTTTCTTTGGAAACAAACCAAGGGAATCCGTAATTAATGAGGAAATAAGTGGTTTTCAAAACTGAAGATCTTAGTTAGTTTTACCATAACCGCTCTCAAACTAGCGGGGCCCCAACAAGCAGCTCTGCCCCTTGGGCCCCACTAGGGGCGCTGCCCCTTTGGAAACCCCGAACCCAGGGGCATTGCCCCCGGACCCCCGACTTGTCGTCGACCCGGCTTCTAATTCGATCTTATACATACGTGCACACCGCATATACCCAAACATATATTAAAGTACAAATTACGAAACCCTTTAGCTCACATGTAAGTTTCAGTTATACAAAATGTTATGGTGACACTAAAACCACAAACAATCCTCCCCCATTTTAGTGTAAGCTTTGAACAAACATAACATTATCAAAACAAAACCAAATTAATACATAAATGAAAATGTCGCAACGATTAAATTTCCACTTAGTACCATACTCTTACAAATATTCGAGAATCAGGGTGTTCTAAGAATTGAACCCATCAACCCATTTGAATACCAGAAAGTAAAATACATACTACTTTATTGAAATTTCTAGCATAATACAACTTGACATTATTATTAAGCAGCATGTCCTAATCCTCTCATGATCGTATCAAGGCTAAGTCCACAACCTCTTGAAACGCGGATACACTTCACAATCACGTAGGTAATTCCTTTCCATGTATCTGCACATACATTTAATCAAAAGAATTATTAAGAAGTTAAACTTCATGTGTTCCAATCTATAAGTATGAGCTTTCCACATTGAATTCAACTCCTAATGTCATATTAGAAGGGAATTAAGTGTCTCACCATTACAGATTTTAGATGGACTTTAATCCCATCGCAATCACAGACTTGTGCACTAAGTCTCTTGACAAATTCTTAGTCAAATGATCTGCCAAATTATGTTGTGATGTCACAAACACAACCGAAATTACACCGGTGATGATTAGTTCTCTAACCATACTGTGTCGTACACCTAAGTGTCGACACTTGTCATTACACACTTGAGTATAGTCTTTTCCCAAAGAGGCAACGTTATCACAACGGATAGAAATAGGTGCTATCGGTTTAGACCACAAAGGAATATCATAGACTAAGTTCCTTATCCATTCAGCTTTTTACCAGCAGAATGTAATGCAACAAACTCATATTCCATTGTTGAGTTTGTAATGCAATTTTGCTTTTTGTAAGCCCAGGATACGACACATCCCATAAGCAAGAATAGCCAACCATTCGTTGAGGAATGATCCTCCATGTTGGTTATCCAACTTGCATCCGGATGTTCTTACAAAACCAAAGGATATCCCAAGTAACTCAATCCATAATCCATGGTTCCGTTGAGATACTTAAACACTCTATTCATTATTTGCTAATGTTGAGCATTAGGATTTTTAGTGTACCTGCTCAATTTCCCTACAACAAAAGCAATATCATATCTGGTACTTGTCATTGAACACATCAAACTACCAATGGATTTAGAGTATTCCAATTGTCAAATAGGAGTTCCTTTGTTGTCCATCAATTTCACACTTGGATCCATAGGAGTGCTCACAGGAGAACAATCGGTAAAATTAAACGCTTGAGAATTTTCTCAATATAATGACTTTGAATCATTACCAAGCCTTTGTTCATCCTTCAAATTCTTATTCCAAGAATTATATCAGCCTCTCCCAAATCTTTCATGGAAAACATAGATGATAACAATTTCTTTGTTTCATCTACTTGATTTTGGTCGGTACCGAAAATCAGCATGTCATCTACATATAAGCAAATGGTCACTCCAGCACTAGTAGCATCATCAAATCTACTATAAACACATTTGTCACATTGGTTAATCTTGAAACAGAGGACAAAATAACATCATCAAACATTTTATTTCGTTGTTTAGGCGCTTGTTTCAGCACATACAAAGATTTGACAAGTTTACAAACCATATACCCTTTACTGGGCATAATGAAACATTTTGGTTGCTTCATGTAAACTTCCTCGTCAATTTCACCTTTCAAACAGGCTGTTTTCACATTTATTTGATGAATAACCATATTGTGGATAATTGCCAAGGCAATCAACAATCTAATTGTAGAAATACGTGCAACCGGAGCATACGTATCAAAATAGTCAACACCGAGTTTTTATCTAAAACCTTGAATGACTAATCAGGCTTTGAACTTATCAATAGTCCTATTAACATTCATTTTATTTTTGAAAATATACTTGAAACCAAGTGGTTTAGTACCTGGGGGCAAATCAGTCAACACCTAAGTGTTATTTTCAAGAATTGATGACATTTCATCATCAATTGCTTCTTTCCAAAATAGTACATCTTGAGACCGCATGGCCTCTTGAACTGTCTTTGGATCATCCTTAATACTGTAACAATAAGAGTATTTAAGACCCTCCTCATCCCTTAAGCCTTCCACCAAGTACATTTGGAAGTCGGAACCGAAGTTTTTCGGAATTTGGTCTCTTTTGCTTTTTCGAAGCTCTTCTGTTTCTGGTTTAGTAACACCATCTGAACTTTCTGGATTCCGCACTTCATTAGTGCCAAAAATCAGATCATTAGGCCTTTGAATATATTCAAAGCACATCTCATCAAAAATTGCATCTCGTGACTCAATAATGGTATTAACCGATACTGAATCATTAGGTTCAATTAAGTAGAACCTATATGCCTTGGAATCTTCAACATATCCAATGAATATACAATCTATTCCACATTCTCCCAAAGTTTTTCTTTTAGGCTCGATTAGTTTTACAACTGCCCGAAATCCCCAAACCTGAAAATAACTTAAATTCGGGTTTTTCTTGAACCAAAGTTCATATGGGACTGATTTGTTCTTTTTATTTGGAACTTTATTTAATAAATAGCAGACTGTTAACATGGCCTCTCACCAAACTCCATCACTCAATCTCGAGTATGACAACATCGAGTTTACCATTTACTTTAAAACTCGACTTTTACGTTCAACAATTCCTTTCTGTTGGGGCGAGTAAGGTGTCGTGGTCTCATGAACGATACCTACTGACTGGAAGTATATGTGATCTATATATTCACCTCCCGTATCAGTCCTGAGACATTTAACCAGATTGCCCAATTACAATTCCACATTGGTTTTGTATATTTTAAATTTATCTAAAGCTTCGTCCTTAGAATGTAACAAATACACATAGAAAAACCGAGTGCAGTCATCAATGAAGGTGACTACATACTTTTTATTTCCTAAGGAGTGGAGTGAATATTACACAGGTCACTATGTACATGTTCCAAAATAGCCGAATTTCAAGTGACACTAGGAAATGGCTGTTTTGTCACTTTTATAAGTATGCATGTTTTACATTTATTAGAAGTCATGTCAAAGGCTGGAATTAATCCAACTTTTGACATCTCATGCATCCTCTTAAATTGACATGACCTAATCTTACATGTGAAAACATAGATTTATCAACATTAGAAGTAGAAGAACAAATACAAAATTTTGAACAAGTAATAATTTGTCAACAATATTCAAACGAAACATTCTAATATTTAAATATCTAAAACCAATAAACATTCCACCTCGAGATAAGATGAACTTATTCGACTCAATAACTTGTTTAAAACCAGTAAAACTCAAACAACTAGAACTAACAAGATTCTTTCGAATCTTAGGAACAAACAAAACATCAAAAATCTTAATAGTCTTTCCAGAAGTAAATTCAAGACTCAAGATACCGGCACCACAAATAGGTATAAAAGAATCTTCTCCTATTCTCAGTACTGATCCTTCTTTAAGCGGTGTTAATGTTTCATACAACCATTTATCCTTGCATACATCGTTCGTTGCCCCGGGGTTGATCCACCAAGAAACATCATCATCCTGTACATAGAACGATTCACGAATAAATGAAACATAATAAATATAATTCTAATTAGAATTATCAAAGTTAGTAAAAAATTGACCTCCTTTAACTTTGCCCGAACACCCTTTCACACTTTCATTGGCTCCACTGTTTCCAGCACCATTATTGTTATTATTGTTGCCTAAGTTCACACGACAATCAATCTTGCAATGCCCCACTCTATTGCAAAACCAATTCCTTTTTCTTTTTCTTAGAGTTATTCGGGACATGTTCCTGCTTACATTTTCAGTGTCCTTTATAGTTCGGGTTCATGGCTTTATTTTCAACCATATGAACAGAAAGCTGTCCAGATTCAACTTTCCTTTTGGTTTTATTAGATTTGTCAATTTCCTTCGCACGAAGAGATTCTTCAATACGAATATGACTAGCAATTTGAACCAATGACAATTCTTCTTTTCATGTTTTAGGTTATGTTTGGAATCCTTCCAAGATGGTGGAAGTTTGTCAATTACACTTTACACAACAAAGGATTCATCCATTTTCATATTGTTTAGTTTAAATTGACCATAAATACCAAGGAGTTCATTGTATTGTTCAGTGACATACCTTGAATCAACCATCTTAAAGTTATTAAAGTCACTAGCCACAAACTTCTTGCTAGAAGCATCCTTATTTATGTATTTTAATTCAAGGGTGTCCCACGATTCCTTAGTAGTTAAAACATCACCATTGATATCAAATAGAGCATCTGACATACTGTTCAAGATGTGACATTTGCAAATGTAGTCGTCGTTGTCCCACTTTTGC